GCTCTGCAACTTACCTGGCTGCTTCTTGCTCCTCGTGGCCCGACTGAGGGCTGCTGGGAGCAGGGGGCGGGGCTTGTTGCATGTGCCCGCCCCCTGGGCTCCTTACTGCCGGAGTTTCGTTCCTGTGCGCTCCCGCAGGAAATGACCCCTGGTCCTTTCTGCCATTTGAGGATTCTGCTGCCTCCATTCCTCTTCAGTTTCTGTCAAGGTCCAAATTGACAGGATTCTGGGAGTTCTGGGAGTGGAGCTCCCCATGTCTCTTTTTCTCTAATTGGGTGTGTGGAGTTGTGAGTTGGATTGAGAAATTATGAGGGGAGGAGTACTATTTGTCCTATCGTGGCTTCCATACTTGGGCAAATAGCCCCCCCCCCCCCTAGCTGCCTTGGGGGTCCTTGTGAGGGCAGAAAAGTAGAGTATAAATCTTGTAAAATAAACATCCCCCAAATCATGTCAATTCAGATCAAGGAAATGGCATACAGGGGAGGAGAGCCTTTCCTCACCTTCATGAAGTGATCCTCCTGATTCAAATGTGTGTGAAGTGCCTTCAAGCTCTAGCCAGTGTATGGTGGACCCCAGCAAAGGGCTTTCAAGAGCCAGCGTGGCGTAGTGGTTAAGAGCGGTGGGCTCTAATCTGGAGAACCGGGTTTGATCCCCCACTCTTCCTTCCCATGAAGCCTACTGGGTGACCTTGGGCCAGTCACAGGTTCTCTCGGAACTCTTTCAGCCCCACCTACCTCATAAGGTGCCTATTGTGGGAAGAGGAAGGCGATTGGAAGCTGCTTTGAGACGCCTTGGGGTAGAGAAAAGCAGAGTATAAAAACCCAACTCTTCTTCAAAGCAAGTGAGAAGCAGAGGTGGTTTGCTATTGCCTTCCTCTGCAGAGTCTTCCTTGGTGGTCTTCCTTCCAAATACTGACCCTGCCTAATTTTTAGAGGGAAAAGTAACATAGACAGAACTCCCAGCATCCTGTCTGTTCAAGCTTACAGTTACAAGTGGCATGAGAAATTAGTCTCACATACAAGGAAAATGTCTGTTGGTCAGAAATAGCTAATCATAAAATTACTTTGTGATAGTCTTTAGATTTTTTTTTAAAAAAATACACAAAGTAAGCTAATGCAGCCCCATTTGTGCATTAACTGAAGTCATCTAGCACTAATCTGGGGTTTTAGAGTGAATGTTTAATGAAGATTTTCAAGGCTGGTTCCCCTGGAGTCATAATAAACACAGATATCTTTTGTAATGTATAATCTGCTTTCTTTGTCTGTCAGACACAACGGAGGATAGAAAGGAAGTTTTGGTTTGGGTGGGGAAAGCTGCCCTGCTTCTCCTCTGGTGATGATGATAGCCACGGATAGCTCTTTCTTTCTCTGAAAGTATTGGGAATGATTAATAATCACTTTGTGTGTTGTGTGTGTGTATTTTAAATGGAGCGCATCAAAAATGGGAAAGTGGAAAGAATCTGCTTTGATACAGTTTCCTATCAAAAGGCTTTAAATAGCTATACTGAGTGTTTCAGCAAGTTGCGGGTGAATAATGTGTGCATCGTATTTCTCAAGGACTTTCTGATCATGTGCCCAGTGTGTTGTGCTGGAAGCCGTAAGAGCTGGTTGTCAAAAGAGTGAGCCAAAACGTGGGGGTTGCTTTGCAGAACGTGTGTGCGCCAGTGCCAGAAGCAAGATTCTTTTTTTGTCCTTTGTTTGGATGGTTGTGAGTCAGTGCTTTGGGAAAGGGAGGCTGTGGGAGTAGTTAACAAAGGACAAAGAGATCTGCCCGGGGATTATCTCACTTGCTTTGAAAGGGCCTGTTGGAGTCTCAAGGGCTTGCTTTAAGGTCTTAATCTTGTGTTAAGTAGTTAGTGGGCCCCACAGCAAACCTGTTGTCTTATGCGGAACTGTTAGTCAAGGTCAGGATGTATATGCAGAGCTGTTTTGAAAACACTGCAGTAAATGATGCAAGATTTTAAGCAGCATATATTGCATGCAGTTCCACACTGCTGCAATGCTAGAATGGGCAGGAGACGGTGTGTGGGCTCCTTCCATGTGACCCAGAGATTCTAACACTTCTCAAGTGGTATATGAAGGAGATGCACCACAGTAATTCCCATGCAGCCTTTGTTTGGGGGCCTACAGTGGTTTTCAGCTGCCCCGTTAGATGAACAGCAGAGGAGGAGGAGGAGATTGGATTTGTACCCCGCCCTTCACTACCCAAAGAAGTCTGAGAGCAGTTTACAATCTCCTTTCCTTTCCCCTCCCCACAACAAACACCCTGGAAGGGGCTGAGAGAGCTCTTTCGAGAACTTCCCATGAGAGAACAGCTCTGAATGAACTTGTAACTGACCCAAGGTCACACCAGCAGCTGCATGTGGAGGAGTTGGGAATCAAACCTGGTTCTCCCAGATTAGAGTCCATGCTCCTAACTTAAATGCTCACATTTCATTTTTGTTCCATTTCTTCTTGCCACTCCTCTGGTTCAGTCTTAGACTGAAAGACTGCAGGCAAAGAAATGGTCTTTTAAAAAAGTATTGTGCAGGGGTTAGGAACTTGGCAATGCCTAATAAAGTAATTTGTAGCCCTGGATTGTAGTAGTCTATATTGTAAGTGTTTCTTGTATACCACTAGTCTTAAGATTGCCCATCCTAAGCATAGTTACACCTTTCAAAGCCCATTGAATTCAGTGAAGGGTGTAAGAACTGTACTGTGAATGACTCCGGAAGACAGAGCTGGAGGTTCTGGAGCATGACAAGCCCATTCAGACAAACAAGGCTTTTATGTATGGATTTTGTGTCTTGTTTTCTTTTCTCCAGGCACATTCAGAACATGAGTGAAATAAAGACTGACGTGGGTCGTGCCCGGGCCTGGATAAGGTTGTCCTTGGAAAAGAAACTTCTCTCCCAGCATCTTAAGCAGCTTCTTTCCAATCAAGCTCTGTCGAAGTGAGTAACTTCCTGTTCTCAGCAGTCAAGTCCCTGTTTGGTGTTTTATTTTAAAAGCTTCCTCATTTAAAGCTCTTGAATTTCCCTGGGTACTAGTACTAACCAGGCCCAACCCTGCTTACCTTCTGAGATCAGACGAGATCGGGCGTGTTCAGGGTGGTATGGCCGTAGGCACCCTGGGTACTAAGAACTGCGGTTCTGCACTTTGAGATCAGATTTTTGTTGTGGTTCAGTCGCACAGTCGAGTCCGACTCTTTGCGACCCCATGGACCACATCACGCCACGCCCTCCTGTCTTCCGTCGGGCTCCAGCGTTTGCTTAGTTTCATGTTCATTGCCTTGACAACACTGTCTAACCATCTCATCCTTTGCCGTCCCCGTCTTCTTTGACCTTCAGTCTTTCCCAGCATCAGGGTCTTCTCCAGTGAGTACTCCCTTCTCATTTGGTGGCCAAAGTATTTGAGCTTCAGTTTCATTATCTGGCCTTCCAGGGAACAGTCAGGGTTGATTTCTTTTAGGATTGTCTGATTCGATCTCCTTGCAGTCCAAGGGACTCTCAGGAGTCTTCTCCACCTCCATAGTTCAAAAGAATCTATTCTTCGGCGCTCGGCCTTCCTTATAGTCCAACTCTCGCAGCCATACATGACTACTGGGAATACCATTGCTTTGACCATGCGGACTTTTGTTGGCAGGGTGATGTCTACTTTTTATTATGCTGTCCAGGTTTGCCATCGTTTTCCTCCCAAGGAGCAGGCGTCTTTTAATTTCATGGTCAGATAGTTCCACTCAAATGAAGATTCTCCATTGTTTTAAATGTAAACTTACTTTCCGCTCTCTTATTTGTAATATTCTTTTTTCAATACCCTGTTTTTGGGTTTGGCGTTTTAAGAATCCCAGATCAGCAGCAGGGGTCAGATAGCATAGCCCCAGCCTGCCCTTTGCCTCTGGACAATTAAATCTCTTCTCCCTCTCCTGAGCTCTAGAGGGAATAAGCGAACATGTAGTAGAGGGAATAAGCTAACATGTACACTGCATTGGTCAGGCCACACCTGGAGTATTGTGTGTAGTTCTGGAGGCCTCACTTCCAAAAGGATGTGGACAGAATGGAGCGGGTGCAGAGGAGAGCGAGGAGGATGATCAGGGGCCTGGAGACCAAGCCCTATGAGGAAAGGCTGAGGGACTTGGGAATGTTTAGTCTGGAGAAGAGGTTGAAGAGGGACATGATTGCTCTCTTTAGGTATTTGAAGGGCTGTCAGAGGAGGGCAGGGAGCTGTTCCTGTTGGCAGCAGAGGACAGGACCCACAATCATGGGTTTAAATTATGGACATTAGGGGGCTGGATATTAGGGGGAAAACGTTTACAGTAAGAATTGTGCCACAGTGGGATCAGCTACCTAGGGGAGGTGGTGAGCTCCCCCTCACTGGCAGTCTTTGAGCAGCGGCTGGACAAACCCTTGTCAGGGATGCTCGAGGCTGATCCTGCACTGAGCAGGGGGTTGGACTAGATGGCCTGTATGGCCCCTTCCAGCTCTGTGATTCTGTGATTCTACTTTATTTATTTGATTCACTTACACCCCACCTTCCTCCCCAGTGGGGACCCAAAGTGGCTTACATCATTCTCCTCTCCTCCATTTTATCCTCACGACCCCCACCCTGTGTGGGGCAGGGCAGGCTGAGGGATGTGTGACTGGCCCCAGGTCCCCCAGCAGACTTCCATGACAGAGTGGGGATTTGAACCTGGGACGCCCTGGTCCTCGTCCAAGACACTCTGACCACTGTTCCATGTTGGCTCGGCATCCCACTTCTCCTCCAATAAGCCCAGAAAGGTGGCCTATCCTGACAGCTGTCCTGTGAGGGAGGTTAGGCTGGAGAGTGTTCCCACAGCTGGAGAAGAATTTGAACCTGCATTCCTCAAGTCCAAGCCCAGCTGCTGTCCCTGTCAATAGCCGCTAGAAGCAGATGAGAATCTCTCCCTACTTAGACTGGGTAGGGATGAGTCTGACAAATGACCTGGGTGGTCCTGGTTATCCTCATGTCGTCAGGTCTCAGAAGCTAAGCAGGGCTGGTCCTAGTTGGTACTTGAATGACCGGGAGACCACCAGGGAAGTCCAGGGTTGCTTGGGAGAGGCAGGCAATGGCAAAACCACTTCTGTTCATCTCTGGCCTTGGAAACCCGATGGGGTGACCATCTAATCGCCTCCTCCTGCTTCTTCTTCTGTCCGCTGTGACTTGACAGCAATTTCCACCACCACCACCACCAGGAATGGGGACTAACTTCCCCATATGTTCTCCCCACATATTTCACTGTTGTCCAAAAAGAAACTCTTTCTGAAGGGAGGGAAGCGGGTGTGAGAAAAAGACGAGGAGGCTGGATTTATATCCTGCCCTTCACTCAGAGTGGCTTACAGTCTCCTTTCCCTTCCTCTCCCCACCACAGACACTCTGTGAGGTAGGTGGGGCTGAGAGAGCTCTGACAGAAACTGCTCTTGAGAGGACAGCTCTTGGGAGAAGTTGTGACCAGTGTTCCCTCTAAGCTGAGTTACTGTGAGCTAGCTCACAGTTTTTTAGCCTCCAGCTCACACGTTTTTGTCTTAGCTCAAGAAGGATGGCTCCAGAGCCAACTAATTTATGCAGCAGCCAAATCGCTCACTCACAACTGTAATGCCAGTAGCTCACAAAGTAGAATTTTTGCTCACAAGACTCCACAGCTTAGAGGGAGCATTGCTTGTGACTGGCCTAAGGTCACCCAGCTGGCTTCATGTGAAGGAGTGGTGAATCAAACCCAGTTCTCCTAGATTAGAGTCCGCGTTCCTAACCACGACACCAAACTGTGAGAAGTCAGACCTTTTGGGGGTCTGCCCTTATAGAATGGAGCAAGTTCCCCAGAGAGGCCTGCCGGGTCCGCCCTTGAATGAGTTTTCAAATGAAGGTCAGGAATGGGATTTTTAAGGGGAGGTGGGCTTCTCCCTAATTGGCAGGCTTCTGGTATTTCAGGTAACCGCTTATGTTGCATTATTGATCTGTGTGCATTAGGGTTGCCAAGTCCTACCTTAAGCCACAGCGGGGGACTCCCGGCTTGCCCCCCGGGGGACTTGGCAAGCCTAGTGTGCATTGTGAATTTAATACAATTTAATTATGCTGATATCTTGTAAGCCGTTTAGGGACTCTCTTGGGGCTATAAAGCGAGATGCCATTTCTTAAACAAATGTTTGTAATGAGCAAACAGAGAAGGGTCTGAGGTACGTGAATGGAAGACTGAGTTTCCTGGGGAGGTTGGACAGATTAGGGTTCTGCTGTTTCTGTACTGCAAAGGTATGCGCCGCCTGCAGCCGTGTTACAGCTACCGCCTGCCTTGCATTTTAACAATACCAGCTGGAAAAATTAAGGTAGTAAGTGTCTAATGACTCTGACTGGCTGCTTGTCACTCCAGCAGCTACAGACTGGAAGGAAACAAAGCAGGAAACAGCACCAGACGCAGCATCACCTCTATGCATGCAGCTATCAGGGCTTCATTAGCGCTGCAGGTTTCCTTGCTTTTTCTGTGCAGTAACCAAAGCTCCGATGTTTTTAGTGCAGTGTTAACCTGTCTGTCCACCAAGCCAGCCCACCTCGTAATCTGCTCCCTCAGAGTCTGTTCATTAATCCATGTGGTTGTTGTTTGTGGTTGGCCGCCAGGCCAGCCACCTTTGTGTTTCCCTATGCTGTGTCCATACATAGTGATAACAGCAGAAAGTTTGAACTAATTTACTAGCATCGGATATACTGTGGTTGTATTTAATTTGGGGGGGAATGTGGATTGGAATGCAGGTCTGTCTTTTGCTTATGCCTTTTCTGCCAACTCTAGAGGAGAGCCCTTTTGTGGCATTGGGCTGTCGCTTAGTGTGACAGAGCATGTGTTTATCACATATCAGGTTTCCGCACATCTATCTTCAATTTTTGACATATTTATTTGCTTCACTGTTTTCCCCCAGAATTAAATTCAAACAATGATGTCATAAACTTAAGCTTGTTATTCCTTTTTGCATCTGTTAAAGCATCTTCGTTATGCTGTATGCTAATTTGCTGCTCAACTTCTGCCTTATATGTACGGACTGGTAAATTCCGTTTCATTGTATCTGAGGAAGTGTGCGTGCACACGAAAGCTCATACCTTGGATAAAACTTTGTTGGTCTTAAAGGTGCCCCCACTGGACTCAAACTTTGTTCTGCAGGTTCCCACTCAGAGCCTCTCTTTTTAAAGTGGACCTTGGGTGGGGCTGGGGGACGAGGACAAATGCCTGAGTCTCTTGTGAGCCCTTAACAGTCATGCTAGACAATAGCTTGACAGGTGGTCCAGTGGTCTGAGTCCTCTCTAAAGCAACTCGTTATAGCCTTAGATGTGCTGGCAAAAAGTATCTGATTTGGTAACTTCCCTATGTCAGCTGAAATCCAGTGAGGGATACTGGACAGAGTGGTTGATGAGGGTATGGGAGAACCTAGTTCAAATTCCCTCTTGAAGCTCAGCAGACAGCTTGGGTCATTCCCTTTCTCTTAGCCTCTCTCACCTACCTCCCAGGGTGGCTGCAAGGATAAAAGGAGAAGAAAGGGTGGTTTTCAGAACCCGCTTTTCTCTACCCCCAGGAGTCTCAAAGCAGCTTACAATCACCTTCCCCTCCCCTCCCCACAGCAGGCACCTCGTGAGGCAGGTGGGGCTGAGAGAGCTCTGAGAGAACTGTGACTGGCCCAAGGTCACCCAAGGAGGCTTCCTGTGGAGGAGGAGTGGGGGATCAAACCCAGTTCTCCGGATTGTAGGCCTCTCCTCCTAACCACTACACCATGCTGGCCAGACTACATGTTTGGATTTTTAGACAGTTGGGTCTGGATTGCCCAGACCCAATTTATATTCCCCACAGTCGAACAGCAGCTGTGGGGAATGGCTTTAAAAATACTGACAGCACAAATGGGCAGCAGACACCTCTGCAGAGGGCAGGGAGAGCTCCTGCTCCCTGAGCCCTTTCCCCATGCCAAAGCAGGCACAGGGGGTGGGGAGTTATTTTCCCATTTTTGTCACTCATGCAGAGTATTCTGTGCACGCAGAGCAGCAAAAATGGAGAAATACCCTCCCAGTGCTTTTCTGGTGAGGGAAGAGGGTTTGGGGTGAAGGCAGGAGACACCCCCCCCCCCAGCATTCTGAGCCCATTTGAGCTGTCCTTTATTCTTTAAAAGTCATTCCCCACAGGTGCTGCTGCTTATCTGCAGGGACCCTGAATTGGTCCAGGCAACCTGGACCCAATCCGGATCCAGTGCTTTAAACGCTCAAACGTATAGTTTGGCCCTGAGGAAGGGAGAGTCGTGTACCCAGCCCTGAACACCTTGGAGGAAGGGCAGGATAAAAAAATGCCCCAGGTACGTAGAAAATATACACTGTGTACCAGTCATGTAAAAAGTAAGCATTATGTGTAACTCTTGTTAGATCCAAGGATTAACTAACAGTTAAATATTTCCATCAAATCTCAGCTGATCCCATTTGACAACTGTGGGAGTTGTTCACACGTTTGCATCCACTTTTTTTCTCATTCATTGTTAGTCTTATGGATGTCTAACCACTTTCCCTGGTTCTTTGCAGGAAACTGTACAAGCGTTACGCCTTCCTGCGTTGTGAAGAAGAGCGGGAGCAGTTCCTCTATCACCTTCTTTCGCTCAATGCTGTGAACTACTTCTGCTTCACAAGTGTCTTCACCACCATCGGTGTGTAGGGAGCAATCCCAGCATTCTCTGCTTTGCATGATAAAGGGACACCTGGTGCTCTTCCTACGATGCGTGCAGACATTGGTCTTGAGAGCAGTGTCCCTGATCCCTGGAGAAACAAGAGCACTGGGGAACTGGCATATACGTGTTGTGCTTAGGGAACGCTTCCACAGACCATGCATCATGCAGAAGATTGTTGGAATAATATCATATTAAGTAGGCATGCAAGTAACCATTTGCCTGCGCAAATCTGAAAAAGCAAATGCACACAGAATTCAAATGGAACATAATAGGGTTGATACATTGCTGTAGTCTAATCTGGATGCTACCAAAGCATGCATCGCAGTGCCAAGATCTTTCCTGCCCAGGAAGGGCTGCAGATTGCCAAAGGTGGTGAAAGGCAGTCCTGGCCACCGCTGGCACCTGTTTATCCAACAGAACGTCCAGGTCTGGCCGGGATGGGGTGTTTATATGAGGTTACAAAGAAGAAAGTCATAAGCAGCAGGATCAGTGGTTCTTGAAATGCGGGAAGTATGTACAGGGGGTGAGTTGTGTGAAATCCAAATGGAATCAAGAAAGGCACATTCCATGATAACAGTAATTGTTGGTAATGTAATGCGGTTCCTCTAGTTTTGTTAAACCAGTTAAGACCTGTAACGGCTAAGGAAATCTGTGTTCTTGTTAAGACCTTGAGACTAGCTCATCAGCTTTCATGCTGGAGCTTCCCTTTGGAGTTACTTTGCTGGAGAATTGTGACTCTATTCCCGGGGTACTAAAATGTTCTCCTACAGGTTTCTGAATATTGCCACTTTTTATGTCGTATTAGCACCCATTTATTATTTCGCACAATGACTGTCGAGTTTGTCCTACATAGACAGCAGAAAGGCAGTTGTTGTTGATATGCAATGGCATACTTTACATTGGAGGGTGAGTACATCGATGAGCCCTGGGTGGTATGGCTGATTTTCTTAATCCCTTTAAAAGTGTTGGCTGAGTGGATATGGAAACAGACAGCATCCGAATTTGTTGCAGGGTTTGTGTTACCTATTGTTGCTGATAGTTGTTCTTTGTTTTTTGGGGGGCTGTCTAGAAACAAGGGTAGGCCTCCTGTCCAAGGCCTGTGAGATCAATGGATTGTTGTCCAGGAAGTTCTACAGATTAGTGAAGGGTCTGTGGCTTAGCGGGAGAGCCTCTGCTTTACATGCAGGGGGGGGCCAGGTTCAATCCTTGGTAACTCCTGTTTAAAAGGACCAGGCAGTAGGTGATGTGAAAGACCCTGGAGAACCACTGCCAGTCTGAGTAAATAC